AAGCAGGATGGAAAAAGATCCAGACATAGTTTCATCTACGAGGATGCGGCAGGGGGACGGGAACAGGCCGATTGCGAGCTCGGACCTGGCAGCTTATGATCATCGGTTCATTAATGGAATAGAATGTGGACGGTCGGAGAATCGAGTAGCAGCCACTTATGATAACTATAATAGTACAGGCAAGTGCGTTACAAGTCACAGCGGGGAGACAAATACCGCTTTATTCGTCGGTGTAGATGACTGCGAGTCAGATATGAGTTACGAGGGACCAGACATCCCTGGTTTATTTAAATTACGTCGCATTAATATGAGTCCAGTGGACGGATGCCGTGAAGATGTAAAGCGCATTGTTCGACGAAGTAGTTATGAAGGCGAATCTAAAGATCAGGTACTGAGATACCGTCAGGAAAGTGAACCAATGGACTCTAGGACCATCCCTATCCGAGACCGCTAAAGTGGATGAGGCTGCGAATTTAAATAAAATACAAAGGGAAAAACTATTTGACTTGCTCCTAAAATACAAGAATTCCTTTACGACGAGACCGGGAAAATGCAAAAATTTTTCTTATAAATTTGATGTGAACTCTCCGGGCCCGCTTGTTGGTTACAGCAGACCAATACCCTTCTCCGTGAGGAACGAGGTTCGAGCCCAGATTGAACAGATGAAAGGGGACGGGATGTTAGAGATTTCTACGTCTACGCATCTTAACCCGTTAACTATTGTCATGCGGGAGGGGAAACCGCCTCGCATTTGTCTAGATGCAAGAAAGGTCAACCGGTTCATGACCGCTGATCGAGCAAGAGTACAACCGATAAATGAATTATTGGAACAGTTTCACGGGGCCAGGTTTATTAGCAATATCGATCTATCATCGGCTTTCTTGCAAGTGGAATTAGCACCAGAATTACGTGTATACACAGCTTTTCTGTTCGAGTCCCAGGTCTACCAGTTTACTAGAACGCCGTACGGATTCCGAAATTCTTTGGCTGCGTTTGTCAGGGCGTTACAGACGACTCTTGGCTCACAAGCTGCGGGTTTTGCTTTGGCTTACGTCGACGACATAACAGTTTTCTCCCAAACGTACGAGCTTCATCTCAGGCACCTCGAGACAGTGATTGGCAAGCTGACTGCAGCCGGTTTTACCATTAATGCCGGAAAGTGCAACTTCTGCAAACCCGAGATAAGGTTTCTAGGACACGTAATTAGCAATGGCGGCGTCTTCCCAGACCCTCGACGCATAGCAGCCATATTAAACCAACCAGCACCGAAGAACCACAGGCAATTTTTAGGCGTATGCAATTATCACCACAGATTTATTATTAATTACGCCAGTTTTGTAGCGCCTCTACTACCATTGCTTAAGAAGGGGAGTAAGTGGAAGTGGACTTCGGATAGTCAGAAAGCATTTGAGATCCTAAGATTGAAGTTTGCCGACAGCATCCATCTAGTGCACCCAGAGGTAACAATGCCATATTCGATAGATTACAAGAAATAATACAGGCTGTGAAGCAGTGGCGTGTGCCATCCAACAGAAATTACCTACTCCGGCACGACGTTCTGTACAACAGGGACAGCTACAACTACCCTTATTGGAGGCCAGTTTTGCCAACTGCGCTTGAAGTTAAAGTAATTAAATTTGTACACGTTTCTTTGGGACATCTG